GATTTTCTCCCTCTCACAGTATCTGTTGTACCTTTCAGATCTTATTTACCGTTTAGATTCTTACACTAGTGAGATGATACAATGTTTACACATGGGGGTCTAATTTATTTCAGTTATGAATTTGGTTTCTAGTTGTTTCCACTTACCTACAAAAGCCTCACTTATCTTTTTTATAGCTGAGTAATACTCCATTGGGTAAAAAATACCACATCTTTTTTTTTTTTTAATTTTTGTGTTTTTGAGACATCCTCCAGTTAGGTCTGTGGACACAAACTGCTCTTTCAACTCTACAGACTTGCAGGCGGCTCTTGGCCTCCAGCTGTGGGGGCTGGTTCCTCAGTCTTCAGCCAGCAACTCTCTAGATGTCTCTCTGCAATCTGCTTTCTTAATCTCCTTAACCTCTAATTCTCTGTGGCTGTCACTCAAGTAGTCGCTATGGGTTTTCAACCCTTACACAAGGACAGCCCAAGGCTGGATCAAGACTGGCATTTATCCGGCCTCTCCTGACCCGTTCGCAGTCTCCTGTCTTTCACTCTCACTGGCTAGTCTCCCTCCTCTCTTGTGCTACTGTAAGCAGGGTGAGGCCAGGAGTGCTGTGGTCAGGCTCACTACTTTTGGCACCATAGTAGTTCCTCTCCTTGCTGTCTGTAGAGGTTGCAATTGCCCACTACAGTGCACAACCGTACCTGGGCTGTTCCAATGACATTTTTGTCCCTCGAGGACTTACACTCATTGTGTCCCTGATAGTTCCAACTCAGTAAGAGGTTGCTTTTTATCCTTTCATAATCTGAGAACATACTGGCAGACCATCAGGGAGCAAGCAGCTTCCTGATCACTCACCGCTGCGTGTTGTGGCAAAATCTGCACACACCCTGCTGTGCCATCTGTTTGGCAGAGGGAAGAAATGTGAGGAGGATATCTACCTCAAGTCCATCGTGGGTAGTTTATTTATTTATTTATTTATTGTAATTTAAGGCATGGTCTATGGGCTGTTCAGGGTCTCACTAGTAGATAGGACTCGTAGTGATCTGCCTGTTTACAGCCTCTCAAGAGCTGGGATTATAGGTGCGCGCCACCATGCCCAGTCTCCATTGAGGTCTCAGCGTGCTCCCAGGGCAGACCTGGGGATCAAATCCCTGACCCCTGCGCCTGCTTGCTGTAATCTGCTGAGCTATTTGGCAGGCCCTATTGTGGGTAGTTTGAATAGGTCACCTTATGTGAGTTTCACCCTTTCTTCTGGAAACTTCCCAGAATGGCGAGACCTTTGCTCTGGTCAGACAGAGTTCCCACAGGCAGCGTTGTTGGCTGCTTCACATTTTTATAAATTCCTAGGCCTACTGGTTTTTTTTTTTGGTCTGCAACACTCTTATTTCCAATTAATTTTGGTTCTAGGTTGTATGTCCCTCCCTTTCTTTCAATAACCTATTTTTAGTTTATTTTCTCTGAGCACAACCAACATGGCTCTTACTGTATTTAGTAACGTTGAATGTCCTACATGAAAATGCTTGGACTATGCAGTGCTTTTAAAATATGGTAATCCTTCTCCCTTACTATTCATGAAAAGGAATCAGAATTTTCTAAGATTTATTGTAATACATTGAGTGTTATCTATGGTTATCATTGTGTCCTTATAACTTGCTCCAAGATCTGGTGTAAGTCGGTTTTCCCTTCTTTTATTGCTTAGTTATTTCCTATTGACAAAAA